TGCGGTCGCATGAATGACGATGTTCGTGTCGATGCTTCAGACACATGTCAATAGAGCGATTAAATATTAAACATTAATTGTATAACATTCTTATGGTCTAGAAGAAACTAGAAGCGTTGGGGAGTTCTCTCATACGTTGAAATATTGCAATATTTTTTGTACGTGTTCTACTCGAAATTTCATTTTCGTTTAAAATTGCAGACGAGGCGAAGATGTTTGAACTTTTTGAGAAAGCTTTGAATTGACATTCCGCAGCGGTCTAAAGCCATACAGGGAATAACGATTACGGAATTCTTCAGGCACCAATAATCCTTTGGCATAGGAGAGAGAGAGAGAGAGAGAGAGAGAGAGAGAGAGAGAGCGCATTCGAAGCATCCGCAATACTATAAAATAGAATTAAATAAAAAATTAAATGTGTTTCATAATTCTTTTATCTAATTAGGCGCGCAATTAGTATTCCTTGAATTCGCACATTTAAATTACAAAGCGAAAAGCAAAGAAACGCATCGCTTGATTAGATAGAATGCAACGATTCGAGAAACGCGCAAAGTGGATAGCGGGTTGTTACTGGTTGAGGAAGTTTCCGCGGGAACTCCACGAGACGGAAAACGAGTAAAGTAATCGTGAATCGATACCAGCGACTCTCTAAACTACTCGAAAGTTGAAAGAGATCTAATGCCACGCTGTCTGGCTCCCAAGATAGCCATGGAGCTAGCGACGGCACTTGCTCGTCGATTGAATGAGTCAATTTCGCAAACTGCCTAATGTCTATCTCTTACCATCAAAGATAACTAAGTGGTTTAAATTAGAAGTTGAAACCTTTGCAATCCGTTAATCTTTTTCTGTTCATGTGATACTAAATCTAGCGTACACACAGGCCACGATTTTTTACAATGACATAATATAGAATAGTTGACTCGAGAGCTTTTCGGGTAAAGTTGTAAGATCGACATTGAGCCACTCAAACGACATGTCACACCGCATCTCCGCGACGATGTTCGATTCCATCGATAAAATGAAATTCCGCTGAACGAATCGCGGGCTCTTAACGGCAAACATGCTTGAGACGTGTACGATTTCGCCGAGCCGAATCCCTTACACCTCGTGGGTACATAGCACGCCGGAATTGAAAGTGTAGGAAACACGGAGATCCCGGAGTCCCAGTAAATCTCTCGAGGAATTCACGTCGGCTCTGGCAAGAGGCGAGATGCGCAAGGGGGTTGGACGAGATAGCGGGGAACAGGCAGGGGGTCAGGGGCGTTCTAATCGGCTTGTACGTGTACTTCCCTCACAAATAGCTAAGCTCGTTGTGGAAGACGGTTAAGCTCGGGAGATGTTTTCATCAAAGGTGGTTAAATTCCAGGAAAATCCCGCAGAGAGACGCGGAAATGAAATTATCGACGAGACAGCAAAGTTGGATAGAAAAACTTCAGATGTTACCGCTCCATTGGTGAACGTGTTAGTCTATCGATGATGTCATTTCATTTCACTTTGCCACGCGCATAACATGTTTCATTCGATTGCGTATAACATTGCTTTTAACCTGTATAACAGAACGGGAAATTGAACCGTGTGTAACGTATCCAATTGATTTTGTTATCAATTTCAATGTCTCTTGCATTATAGATTCAATATAGATGGATCATAGCATATTAATTTTCTTCAAAGGTTTAGTAATTATGTTACATATAGTTGAATTTATGGCAGATAAATTGACTAGCTCTCTCTCTCTCTCTCTCTCTCTCTCTCTCTCTCTCTCTCTCTCTCTCCGATGATATCAATATCATTTCGCGACTCACTATTGTTGACATGGCAAATCGCAATCACGTAGTAAAATTCTAATATAGCTAATAAAGCATAACTTTAAAATTGTACTTTGTTTAATTTCTATTAATTATTATCTACATTTATTATAATCAATTTTCAATGTTTATAGATTGTTTCATCAATTATTTTAATTTATTATAATGTTATAAAAAAATCTTTGTATTAAATAAAGATAATAATTTCTTATTGGTCACCAATTACTTTGTTTACGTCTTTTCTGCTACTTGATTGGGATAGTATTCAAGAAGAATATCGCGTACAAAAATGTACGAAAATATTAGTTACATTATGCATATTATAGATTTCCTTGTATTTGTGTATGCAATATTTTTCGAGAATGAGACTCCAAATGTCTCAATAATCGCAGCGATTTGTTTCATGATAAAATTACGAGCAACTACAATTTACAAAAAAACTACCTGCGGAGATGAAACGTAAAATATCTCTTACACGTGACAAATGTCTGTAGATGGTGGATTTTGGTGACAATGAAGGGCACGTAGCAAACCGTCACAGTAGCAAACCACGATGACGACCCACGTACCATGATAATCAGTCATGGAAATATTCTAGCGTTGCAAAATACACGTTTATGTCATGAGATTCTTCTCACGTATTACGGTATTATTCCTTTAACGTAATTGTCTTTATCTGAGAATCGTTTTCTACTGATTACTTATCACTCGCTTGTTATTTTCGACAAATTAGAGATTTATTTATTTAAACGCACAGTCGTTCCCCTTTAAATAATACTGTCCAACATCCAAATTCTTTTTAAAATGTCATAGTACAAATTCCGGAATTTTTTCGTGTAGACCACGATCCCGTTGGTAGAATTTGTGTAGCATGTCAGACTTTTTTAGTAAATTGAGATAAAATGACGTTTTTTTCAACATTTTTTTGCAACAAAACAAAAACTTGCTTCTAAATAAAATAACCACACCAATTTAATATTACATACCAACTTACTAAAAAATTCATTGCTACGCAAAATTTAACGATGGCATTGTATTTAACGCGAAAAATTTTCGGAATATGTACTATAACACTTTAAAGATAAAAAAAGAATGTCTTTTGTTGAATTGTGTAATTACAGAAAGTCTAAAATTCAAATAGTTATAACTTGATTGAAATAAAACGTACAATCATGAATTAAAATTCATTTGAAAATTCTTGAATTGCACTTTTAAACTTTATTTAGAAACGAAGCTTCGATTTGCCGTAAAAAATGTTTAAAATAATAAAAAATATTATTTTTGGGCCATTTATTAAAATCCTGACATGTTACATAAATTCTGCTAATAGCATCATATTTGACACAAAAAATCTTTGAGATATAATATATACTACGGCACTTTTATATAAGAAAAAAGTTTGACTTTTTGTCGAACAATATAATTAATGCATCTTTGTTGGCGCATTTTCGATGCATACAGAAATACGGGAGCGCGTTGAAAATATCGATCTCGCGACTGCAATTTATGTCTGAAACTTGGAAAGAAACTCAGAATATAAGAAGAAAAAACAAGATATACATGAATGCCAAAAAATACTTGTCCTAGTTTCAAGAATATATACAATATTTTGTTAATTATATAATTTATTTTAAAATGTAAAAAATAATGACATTTAATGCTTCTCGGAGTTCATGTTCGCGGTAGCATCTGAAATTGAAAAGGTAACTTTGAAATAAAGAATTTTCAAGAACATCTTAATCTGCCACCGTGGTATGTCTTTAAGGATAAAATGCCCCAATCAATAAATTGGACGTATTTGCAATGCTTTGAACTATTTAAATGGATCCATTATGAGGTTCAATTAATTAAATATATAGAATTCTCTCTTTCTCCCCCCTCTCTCTCCCTCCCTCTCTCTCTCTTGCCGAAGTGAGAGGCTGTCCTTTCTCGGAGAAAGATGGGCTCAACGTCAGCTTCAATTCGAGTTCATCCCTGCTTGGATCTTCCAAATCATCCATCGCTACTAACTTTGTACTCTTCCTCAAACTTACTAGTAAAGTATAATTCTACGCGAAAGCACACCAAGAGAAATATCGCTTTGACATGTTGCCCATGCATACGCAAATTCTTGTAAAAGATGGCTGTATATGTTTAGTTCGGATTTCAAAGAACTTTAAAATCGGCTTTGTGCCAAGAAAAACTCAACTTGAATAGTCGAATTTCGTTCAACGTGTAATACCCATCTGCAATATTTTTAATGCATAGACTAGCAGAGGCTGAATAAAATCTCTTTGTACTCTTTAAACTGAGAATATCTCCTATTTAATTTATCTCGGATTTTTACAGAACAAGTGCAACACAATTCACAATCAAAATATTCAAAGACATTTGAGAGACGACAATAAAATTTTCATTTAATCAGTTATAAGTAGTCGCGTTGGATCCGACAACGAAGTTATGAATATGCATTTTCTGCGTGTATCATTTGCGATAAAAAGGAAAATGTGCTTTCGGCAAATTTGTAAAAGTACGTTATTTCTTTCCCATTCTCATGCCAAAGAAATGAGAATCCTATGTCGTTTTCATTTATTTATAGCCAAAAACGCACAGCGCCATTAGCGAGATTCTACGTTACAATAGCGCGCGTTAAATGTTCCGAGAAGTTTTAGTAGACGTAAAACAAATTTTGACAAATGTTCTGCATGCCAATAAACATTGAAAAATTCGACTAAGCCGTCTTGTTTCCAATTTTTTCACGCAACGTTCCGTATTTGTGTAAAAATAGTTACGACATTAGGTTACGAAGCATCATTGAGCTGACGCAGCCACTATTTGTAACGAAAAGCAGCAAAATAATAAGAATAAACTTTAAAAAAGGAATTAAACGATAAATTTTCATTTAATTTAATTATGTTAAGGATAATATATATTTTTTCAAAACAATGAAAAGGAACTAATAAAAAGTTACGAACAAATCAACACATTTATATCACTTTATTATTGGCTGCAGCAAAGAAAGCAACTGTTGTAAAATTCTTTAATGTGGTTGGTTTATACATTTAGATTCAGTAAGGAACTAAGAGCAACATCAATCGTATTAAAGAATTTTACAACAGTTGCAAAAGTGTCTTTTTTGTTGAATGCAGCCCTTGTAAACGCACTCAATAGTATTATTATTACTGGAAAATAGTACATGTTAAATTTATTATCGCTCACCATGGTCGTCTTCGTAGATGATCACCACCTTGGTCCAATTAAGGAACTCCATGATGTCCTGATAAGCGGCGTTGAGCAGACTTTGTGCGGGATAAAGATTAATGCTGAACTCTTTCGCTTCCGTCTCCAGGTCCAGCCTGGCCTCGAGATGTGGAATGTCGAGGGCGTCGCAGATACTGTGAATATGTTGACCCAGGATCGGATCCGAAGGTCCGAAGACCGCCTGGACGCCGTGCTTGACTTGCTGGCACGCTGCAACAAAAAGTGACATGCGCGTTTTAGCACGAATAGCTTTTTTGGCAAATTTGTTTGAGCAAAAGCAAGATGGTAGCAACGTGTACTAACAACTTGGCAACAAACTTGATTCGAGTATAACTTGGCAACTCTGCGTCCGCATTAACGAGCAATAATTCAAGCGGATACTCTCGAAATGGATTTTCGAAGCGCTAATTTTAATTATCCGGAGAAAAATCGCGAGTGTAATGCTGCTATTAGTTTAATCAAGTTTTTCCTTCCTTTACATAATTAACGTTTCTCCATCCAATCTCCCGTTCTCACGACGAGAGAGAAGAAAGCGATTAACTCGAAATTACGAGTTTTCCCCGTACCGTTAATGCCGACATAATAATGCCGTGTCACGGTCGATAATCCACCCCAGAGCATGGCCAAGAAAACCGCCGTAAACTGAGGGTAACGCCGCATTAACGCTACACTACATGTAGGACACGATCGTGCAATTCGCCCTCCCTTACGCCACTTTGAGACTATTGCGCGAGCATAAGGGTCAGTTGCTGTACGTACAGAATGACCGAACCTGGAACGTACTAGCACACCCGACGTTATCTCGTATAAGTTCCAAGTGTTGCCGCACGTCCGGCCAACGTTAGACAACCGACCGACCCGGAGTTACTCGGCCATAGCTTCACCCGTCCACAGGAACAAACCCGCCTGCACGCTTGTGTCTCTGTCGCCAAGTTAATTTACGTTGTCGCACGCGGACAGAAATCGATTTTCGGAGCGTGCCGTACTCCGAAGTTACCGCCGCGTCTGGGAAACAACAAGACAACGTTAGTTAGATCAAGTGCCACGAATAGCGAATCTCGGTAAACGTGAGCGGTATCGCACTTCCGGATTGCTCGCGAGTTACGGCGCGTAGTGCAGCGTAACGATTGTCACGCGAGAAGCTGCAAGGAATTGCGAAGCAGATAGAACGGATATGCGCAATCAACGTAAACGCGTAAATGCTGAAAATGGTGACGCTTGCCAAGTGTCTTGTTGTACATACCATATTGAGATCAAATCTGTAAAATTGTGTAAACATTTAACTACCAAAAATTTTTATTAGTACAAGGTGACAAGAAAGTTTGATCACAAAACGTTGTGTCTATCATCAAACTTACATTAGTAACGTAGGGTAACTCCGGCAAATACGCCACAGAAATCAGAAAAAATAGAAGGAGTGGTGGTAATTTTCCCGTAACTACTCTGTTACATACTTTTATGTTATATTAGTATTGTGTTATGATTTCAGCTTCTTACTATTAATATTAATGAATTTATTGTGAGTTGAATCGATTTGTCACTGTAATAAGTAACGCCATCATAAATTATAATCTACATAAAATAATTACTGTAGGGCGTGTAAAAGACTTAGTGGTTATTTCGTGATACATACATGTAGTGGAACATGTAGTAAAGCATGTTGTGTAGCAAAATACAAGAGCTTTGCTTTCGTATTGTTTGTTTAGTTTGTTGTCTTGTATATCCCACCTGTTTGGGATATACGGCATTTTTAGTGAGCGGGATTTATGCCCAAAGCATACAAAGTGCGCAGATTGAATTCAGTGCACTAAATGCAATAAACGCATTATACACTGAGAGAAAAATGTTTGGTATTTGTAACTATAATTACATATCACTATAATTATAATTATTACTGCTATAATAATAATAACAGTAACTATGTATATAGTTCTAACAACTATAATTTTATAGTTATATATTGGAACAACCATATTTTTTATTGTTGTTCCAACTATATACATTTGTTGCTAGAACTATATACATAGTTACTGTTATTATTATTATAGCAGTAATAATCATAATTATAGTGATATGTAATTATAGTTACAAATACCAAACATTTTTCTCTCAGTGTATGAAATATGTACCTCATGTCATAATACTTGTTATATATGTAGGAAGATCATAATTATTATCTATTACTTCATATACATATTTACCATTCTTATTCCTTAATAAAACTTTATAAACATATTTTATTTAAAACTTTATAACATATTTTATTTAAAACTTTATAACATAAGTTATTATGTCATTATACATCTTATTTATATGCATTATTTGTAAATTTTTCATGAGCCGTACATATTCCTCCCTCCTCCTATGAGTAGCCATATATCCCACCTCTATGGGGGTTTCAAAAAGTTATTTTTAATATGAAAAATAAATATTTCGGATTTCTAATATTTTTTTCATAGTAGTAGACAGTACAAAGTTTTTACTGATATAGTTCGTTTACTATAAACATAGTAAGTAATACTTAATAAATTAAGTTTTTAATAGGCGCGGCGTATATACCGGAGTTACCCTATATAATATTTACAAAACAGACAAACTTTGGAGTGTTAGTTATCTTTTATTAAATACCAAAAATAATGATTGACATTCAAAATAGTTACTTTTTGATTTAATACATTAAGCTTTATACGTTATTAATCAATAATAAATGATGTCATTTATTATCATGACGTTAAAATAACATCATTATTTTAATATCAGAATAACATCAGTTTGTTACTTGAGTAATGATTTGATGAACACATAAAACTTTGTGGTAAAATTATTTTATTTTATAGAGAGTAATGCAGTGATAAATAAATGTTTAGGTTTATAGAAGCCATTAGCAATATAGATATGGTAAAGCTTCTTTCGGATTTCAAAAATGCTCTTTTCATGATAGATGATTAAGCTGTCCCGTACAGTTATCTCTGATTATCACAAGAGAATAGTGGAAAAGATCAACGAGAAGCTGGAAGCCAGCGAGTAATGGCTTCTTGTGCAGTGAGATAATGGGTTTCCGAGGTTCCATTATCATTCCACGTTACGGTGGTGATATCGCCGTCATTATATGCGGATTACAACAATCCGGATGGTTCCTTTCTTTACAGTATACCGTTTCTAATGACATGACCAGTAATACAAAGTTGCGAAGAAAATACTGAGTGATTAAAATAAAATTTAATACGGATAGTTAATATTCCATAGCGTTTCAATGTTAAATTAAAAATTTGTCGTCGATTTGATCGGAGAAGTATTCGCATTTCACGAAAGATATAACTATAAAATAACTTTTTTCGTCACTTCAGTGTAAGATCTTAATAATAAATAACTCGATCGCGGAAACATTATACGTAATTATGTTATGCTTATCTAAAGACAAGCATAATGTAATTAAGAAGCACCTAAAACTGCAAACGTCGAAATTATCGAAAAAGAAATATTTTTTCATTTATATATGTATAAACTTATGTACGAAATTATTTAATTTATAGCGTATTTAATAATTAATGTAACATTTACGTTTAATAATTAATGTTACATTTCTGTCTATGTATTTTTAATTGCATTGCTTCAATCTACTCAACATTAAATTTACAGATTATTAAACCATATATATATAGCAACCATGTCGAGGTAAATGGTTAAGGCTAAAATAAACTTTCAGTCGATTCGTACTGGCGCTCAAAGGGCAAAGCGTGGAAAAATCAAGTTGGCTGTAAACGAGTCTCTCTCGGAAGTAAACGAGGTTTAATTCGTTGCTTAATAGGATGATCGTTAGCTTCGAGAAACGTGCCCTCTGTCTCTCTCTCTCTCTATATATATATATATACGCGCGCGCATGTGTTGTGTGTCTACATACTTTAAAAAAAATACTTTGCATTCCTCTTCCTAATAATTTCCAATACAAAGTGCATTATAATAAATTGAACTCTATTGTTCATTCGATTGCTTCTATTTTTTTAATCATGCGTATTTAATATGTTTTTTTTTATAAATATTCGTTTCTACTTTTAATTGTGTTTTATCCTGGCAAGACGATTGAATCAAACGGGCAGTTGCACCAAGTAGAAATAAAATACACGCTATAAGATAAAAGTAATAACAGTACACGAAAAGATTGTGTAGCGATAAAAATGGAATATAAGAACCGAAAAGATCTCTTGATCGTTAGTGCAGAACAAATGCGTTTCCTGACTAAAGAAGGTGTTCTAATAGATGTTCTTTCAACCACAAATTCTTTTTTCACTACTTGGGATCGATAATTTTCAGTAAAAAAATTCTTTTCTATAATATTAAGCTCGTCTTTTAAAAAACGGAGCATTTAATGGAATCTTTAACAAATTGAATTTAGCCTGATTCGATTAATTATCAAGCTAAAGAATATTCTCTCTCTCCCTCTCTCTCTTTCTAAAGAATATTATTTTTTAATATCCGTCGATTTTTTTCAATCTAGCAGCAGTGGTTTACTAAGAAGAAAGGAAGGAAAAACGTCGAATTTAGCGGCATGACGGAAATAGAGATCAGAGCAGATGGGACAGAAAGCGGAAAGTAAAGGGACGTCAGTGGGTAGCTGAATAGCGAGGAAATAAAATGCACGTCGAAAAATGGAAGCAGACAACTACTGCATAAAGGATGTAATGTTGAATATGATGTTGGAATATCAAAACCAAAGAAAGATGGATAAGAAATAACACGATGATACTCGATCCATCAGGTATCCTTCTGTTGTTTTTTGTTACACTTTGTTTTCTTTCAATGTTGACGTCTGTATTGTGTTTTGTAAAAAAATAACAATGCAATTCGCAATGTCAGTTTGCAAATGATAATATAACTGTTCAGTTTTAATATTAATCTCCACTAGTCCGTTTTTTCCTATTTTTATGTATGTGATCGTTGTAACGGAAAAATATTTTATAATATCAATAAACTTTTTATCGGGAAACAATCATTTTAAAAGCTTCACCGATATTATGTAATGCCGTCCTCCACCGTATAGAAAATCGATGTATCATAATTCATATAAAGAATTTGAGAATTTCCGCAGAGTTTGTTACTCGTACATTTCTATAATTAAATAAATTAGCGGAAAATTTTCAATTTTCCGAGTAAATGAACTGTGCAATCGTGCTGTTTTCTTAAATTGTTATTAAACGAGTTGTATATATATA